TTACTGAGATCCACATCAAAGGAGAGTACACATAAATGTAGACAAGGGAGATAAATTTTTGTTGTCCAAGGCACAAAATCAAATGGTACAAAAGGACTTGGGTGTCAAGAATACCTTTCTTGGTACATGCAAAAATATGAAACTAGACCAGCAACTTGCACCATATACAAGAATAATCTCAGAATGGATAAATTACTTAAATGTAAGTCATAAAACCATAACAATCTAATAAGAAACCATAGGCAGCAAAATCTCAGACACCTCTTATAGCAATATGTTTGCTGATACATCTCCTAAAGCAAGGGAAACTAAGGAGAAAATAAACAAATTGGACTACATCAAAATAAAAAGCTCCTGCACAGCAAAAGAAACCATCAACAAAGTGAAAAGGGAGTCCACTGCATGGGAGAACATATTTACCAATGATGCATCTGATAAGGAGTTAATTCCCAAAACATATAAGGAACTCATACAACTTAACTAAAGGAAGACAAACAATCCAATTAAAAAATGGGCAAAGGAACTAAAGAGATACTTCTACAAAATGGACATACAGGAGGCCAAGAGACATATGAAAAAATGCTCAAAGTCACTAATCATCCGAGAGATGAAAATTAAAATGACAACGAGGTATCACCTCATGCCTGTTGGAATGGCTACCATCAACAAATCAACAAATTACAAGTGCTGGTGAAGATGTGGAGAAAAGGGAATGATAGTACACTGCTGGTAGGAACACAGACTGGTGAAGCCACTATGGAAAACAGTATGGAGTTTCCTCAAAAAATTAAAAATGGAACTGCCATTTGACCTAGTGATCCCACTTCTAGGAATATATCCTAAGAAACCTGAAACACCAATCAGAAAGAATATATGCATCCCTATGTTCACAACAGCATAATTTACAATAGCTAAGATCTGGAAACAGCCCAAGTGCCCATCAGTAGATGAGTGGATAAAACAGCTGCAGTACATTTATACAATGGAATACTATGCCTCTGTAGAAAAGAAGGCTATCTTACCCTTTGAGACAGCATGGAGGGACCCAAAGAGTATTATGCTAAGTGAAATAAGTCAATCAAAGAAAGACATGTATCACATGATCTCACTCATATGGGGAATCTAATGAACAAAATAAACTGATGAACAAAATAGATCCAGAGACAGAAGCATGGAACAGATTGACCAATCTCAGAGGGAAGGCAGGGGTGGTGGGGTGGGTGGGGAGTTATTAAACGGGGAACTTTTATGCCTATATGCATAGCCCAGGGACACAGACAATAGTGTGGTGAAGGCTGGGGGGCGGGGTGGTGCAGGGTGAAGGGGATCAATGGGAAAAAAGGGAGACATCTGTAATACTTTCAACAATAAAGATAAATTTAAAATAAAGAATGCCTTACTCAACACCGGTGTGCAGCGGTCATGAGTTAGTTTTGGGGAAGAGGTGGAACAGGAACAGGGAGTAGCAGAGGCCAGCTTCTAAAGGACCCATACCTGTGATCTGTTCAGAGCCTAAAACGTGCGGCAGGCTCTTGAGAGCTTAGGAAATTAACAGTAAAATGTTAGCTAACATTTACTGAGCTCTTAGGTTTTTTTTATAAAAGCACTTTACATGTATCAACACATTTCATTTAACCCAATGAGTTTATAACAATAGGTCACACTTGGGGTATATTATTCTGGTTATTTCTTTTTTACAGATGAGTAAACTGAGGCCGGGGAAAATTAAGTAATTTGACCAAGGTCGGATGGTTAGTGATTGCCACTGATTGTCTGAAATCGGCGCCAAGGTCAGCCTGACTGCAAGCCTGGCCCACCACCCTCAGCTTCCATCCCCACTGCACCCCAGCCACCCAGTGGTTACAGTCCTGGTCCCTGCTTCCACCTTTACTTGAACATTTAACTCAGCGGTTCTCAACCTGTGGGTCGCAACCCCTTTGGCAGTCGAACGACCCTTTCATAGGGGTCGCCTAAGACCATCCTGCATATCAGATATTTACATTACGATTCATAACAGTAGCAACATGACAGTTATGAAGTAGCAACGAAAATAATTTTATGGTTGGGTCACAACATGAGGAACTGTATTTAAAGGGCCAGAAGGTTGAGAACCACTGATTTAACTAGAGTGGTTTGAGCCTCCATTTTTTATAACAGGATCTAGGTCCCTTCCATCTCATCTTTCTCTAATAGAAGGGGTTGGGGGGAGAGGGAGAGAGGCATGTATTTCATGTCCACTCCTGGGCCAGCCCCTAGTTCTGCCCCTGCCCTCCGTTCCCTGTGTGGAAGGCTCTTCCCTGGGACACAGACCTCCTTTCCTTGCATTCTCCAAAGGAACATTCACCCAAGACTGTGTGCAGCAGCCTTGTTATGCAGCCATGCTAGCCGCAGAGGGCAGATGCAATGTGACTTTGTTTCCTGACAGTGGGAGAGATCCCAATTTCAGAGATACTAAAAGTGAAGAATGTTTCATCTTAGAATCCATGAAGTAGAAGAATTAATTTGACTAAAAGTTGGAAAAGAAGTGTATCAGAGATGGCTTTCCTTGCTATCAATGCAGAAGGAAATTCACTTTCTTGATTCAGAGATCATGAGTCTACATTAATGTCTCCGGAATTATTTTATCAGAACTATTCTGAGTTTTGGAGAGAAACTCATCTCTACCCCCTGCCACACATCATTTCAGAGGAGTTCCAGCTTTCAGCATCAGACAACTAGAGATGGTGGTTTCACTGAGCATCTTCTAAAGAGTTCAACTTCCCAAGGACATTGCAATGTCAATATTCTCCATACGCTCTGGAATTTTTAGTCTAAATCTTGATGTTTGATTTTTCTGAAGGATACTTTTTATTCACAATGAAATTAATTACACCAAAGGATACTGTGGGGGAATTTATTGTGTTCAAAACCCTGTTTCAGGAGGTGTTTGAGGAGACCGAGTGAGTTGCATAGTTCAGTAAGTAGTCCCATTCACAATAATATAGTGACATTAAGCCCTGGCCGGTGTGGCTCAGTTGGTTGAGCATTGGCCTATGAAAGGTCACCGGTTCAATGCCTAGTCAGGGTACATGCCCAGGTTGCAGGTTCGGTCCCCAGTCATGGTGGGGTGAGGCATGTACATGAGGCAACCGATTGATGTTTCTCTCTCTCTCTCTTCCTTCCTCTCTCTGTAAAATAAAAAAAAATATATTAAAAAATATATAGTGACATTAAAATTTGAAACTTAGTCATAGCTTCCATATAAACTTTACTTTCCTATGCACCAAATACCACCAGTATTTGTCTTGTTAGGTTGCCTTTGATTTTCTTATAAGTACATTCCAAAATTTCCAACACTTTCTCTGAAATTTGTACCATCTTCAATTACATGTTTCCTGCTTGAAGATTTAAGCAAAGCCTTGTTTATTCTTTGAAATTGTATTCACCATCCAGGAAACAAGCCAACTTGTTTCTGATGGACAGAGGGAAATATGCCAACCTAACCATGTTTACAGTTGCTTTTTGCCATCGCGCTATCAATTCTTAGGAAATAAGAAAAAAATCTTATTTGTGTACTTCTTTGGCTCATCGTTGCCTTTACATTCCTTAGCTTGCAGTCATGTGGGTGAATGGTGATCATTTCATCCCATTAGCTGGTGCCGTGATCACTTTGTCGTGCAGTGTTCCTCTTTGACCTCAGCGTGCTGTTGTCAGGGTAGAGAGCCCTGCTGGCAGGTCGCACCATCACCGGTCCTTTTCTCATGTTTTGCTTAGTGACAACAAATGCAGATTTACAACTTTGGATGAAATGCATGGTCTCATGCGAAGGAAAACAGATGATAATTTTAGTATTTAAATAAAGAAACACAATCTTGAATAAAAGATGACTATTAATTTTTTAAAAATTTGTTTATCAAGAATTACAGAATTGTGCATAATTTGCTGTTAGTTCAGATTTTTAAATCATGTGCTGATGGAAATTGGCCATGAAGAACACATTTATTTTGGAGTTTAAAATTTAAGTAAAATGAACTTACTAAAATTTATGCCAAAACAATAATGATGGCATCTTTCTGTCCTCAGGCCAACGTGGAAGATATGGCATGACTGCTCATACTTAACTGGAAATTCAGGTCGTGATAGTGCGAGGTGGATGGTTTTCCTAAAGTGGCTGAGATTATTCACCTCATTTAGTGATTGTTTCTTTATCGATGAAGTATATTGCAATAAATTTAGTTTATGCTTTCTTGTTCTTGATCATACTCAAGTGTGCCTCCAATGTTCACTCATTCAATTCAACCAACGTTATTGAATGCCTACTATATCCAAGGCATCAGATTGGCAAATACACATGGATACATAGTCCCTGACCTCAGAAGCTGGCAGTCTAGTGGGGAGACAAGTACATAAACAGATCATTATAATACAGTGCAGTTAGGTGGAGATTGAATTTGGGGGCTTTCAGAAATTCTTCAGTCACACATTTCAAACAGTCTCTGGGGTCACTTCCACAGATGGTCATTTCCTCCATTGTGTTTCAATCCATCCTACATTTCTTCCTGGATTTTCAATTTGCCTTACTTTGTTCTTGTTTCTTCTTTGGCCAGAAAATCTCCCTAAATATGGCACAACCATGAAAAGTAATATGGGAAATCTATATGTGCAGACATGAAAATGATTTTACCTTGATAAATGAAAAATTTGATTTGCCTTAGTGGGCTGAGGATGAATCCCGTTTGTGAAAATACATTTAAAAATATAAATACATAAAATATATAAGTATATCCAACTGGATATT